GGGGGTGGCGAGGCTCCTGGTTAGTGGCTGGGATTCCGGGGAGGGAGTGAGGACAGGCCCGAGGTGATTTACGGTCTCCCCCGCGGCCACAGAATGAGCTGTCCCTCGCTGTCTCGGTCAGTTGAAACAGGGCGCCCGAGTCAGGCCTGGGAGCGTCTGGCCTCCCCGCCGGCCCGCTGAGGGGCGTGAGGAAACGAGGGTGAGCTCAGACAGGCTCTCTGGAGACACCTTTCCTTGCCCTTTCCAAGCCTCTGTGTTCCTTTCTTTCAGCTGTGCAACCTGCGTTTTACTAAAATTTCCAGGTGGCGGCTGCCCTCGGTGGGGTATTTATTCTGTTATTTTTCTTTACAAGCGGGCCTGTCCTCAGGTGGAGGCCGTGCTGCTTCCCGACGCCGCTTGGCAGAGAACGGCCATGCCCAGGGAGCAGCCTGGCACCCTGGCGGGCATGCGCAGCCCTGCTGGGCCCTGCAGCCCCGGGATTTCTTGCCGAGCAGTGACGCCCGCTCGTCCTTGCCATTTTCCTGTTAAGTGAATGCTGCTCATTCCTGGTGGCTTGTGATTTTCTAGCTCTGCTACTTCCCATCACTGGGAAATTCCTAAAACATTTTTTGAAGAGTGATTTCCTGTGTCTAGCCTTTATATGCAAGTTTTTCAAATTCTACCCAAAGGTTGAAAGCCAGTAAGTGTAGCTGCCCCTCAGGCCCCATCAGACATTTAAAAGAATCTATTATGACGTCGGAAGAGAAACTGTAGCCTCTTGGTACAGGAGAAAGTGGGGGGCCTTCTGGGGTCCCCAGAGATGGCATTTCCTGTCGCTGCTCTGATGGCGGCCCAGGGCTCCGCTGACCTCACCCAAAGCCCCGAGAGAAGTGCTCATTATCTCGCTCCAGAGGACAATTCCTCTTTGTCTGCAGCTCAGAGGTACACACTTGCTCACTGTCCAGGGGAGAAATGCTTTGCATTGTTGGTTAATAAGCAACGCACATCTGGCCCGTTTGCCTAACGCTGCATTTGTTCAAGTAGTCGCCCATCAAGGAGGCCGCTCGGCTAGTCACAGAGGACACCGGCTATTTAGGTCACCCGATGCCCGGCACCATTCAGGAGGGCTCTGTCCCGCCCCTTCACGTCCGGAGGGATCGGGCTGCACACCAAGTGACTTTGTGGGTGTCAGGGCCAAACATATTCAAGAGGGACAAGGGCTGGGAAAGAAAGCCCAGCAGGAAAATACCTTGATTGTCTTTTCTTAACACACATGAAATGTTGTCTACGGGGTTTCCAGATTGTGGTTTTTAGTTGCACCAAATTGTGGGGTGCTCGGGGGTCCTATGTGGGAGGGACTCATCATTTAAGCATAAAGGTAGAGAGGTTGCCTGGCATAGGCAGCCCGGACCTCCCAAGGGCCCTTCTGTCGAAGGCGAGCGTCTGCGGCGGAGATAGAGCCGGCCAGCCTGCCTTTCCTGTGCCGCCTCCTCACTTTCTGTGGGTTCTGTGCGAGCATTTCCTGTCCCCCGCCCCCCAGGGCTGCCTGGGCAGGGCTTGGCTTGCTGCAGAGACGGGCAAACACCTACAGCGGTCTGAATGAGGGCTGCAGCTCTTCCTTCTGTCCGTCTTCGAATGTTTGGGAGCAGGGAGATGCCTTCCCCGTCGGGTGCTGGCTGGTGGCCCCGCTTGCAAAACGGGGGTGGGGCTCTTTCCCGGTTGGCACAGTGACCGGTCAGAGTGGACGAGGGGCCCCCAGGAGGGCAGGTGCCGCCGCCTGGGCTCCGCCGAGCCTTGGCCGCTACCAGCCTGTTCCGGGCCAGGCTCTCCCCGACGGACGGCTCCTCCCGCCTTCCCTCCAGTTCTTTTTCAAGCAGTAGGTGCCACGTTCACAAAACTGGCTTGCGCTTGAGGTTGCGCCCGAGGTCCGTGTTTTCCCAGCTGCCCTCTGCGCCTTCGGCCTCCCCTGGCTTGCTCTGTACTTGTGTGGTCAGTCCAGCCCTTTCTGTTTCATCTGTGTCCGCAGTGAGACTTAAATGATGCTCCTCTTGGGATCATAGTGACCAAAACAAATGAATGGATGGACAAAACTCGCTGTCAAGAGGCGCTTCGGGGCCTCCCTGGCGGTGCAGGGGTTAAAGTCGCAGCACTATGAAGCTGTCCATAGCCGCTGCAGCACGAGTTTGATCCTGGCCAGGGAGTGACCACAGGGCGCAGCAGACCCCTCCTGTCACCCCACTGCTCCCCTCAGCAGTGTTTCAGCAGATCCGCCTGTTCTGCTCCCCACTCTGTCTCTGGCGAATCCGCTCACCCCTGCACCTCTGGCCTGCACCCCAGTTCTTGTAGGCATCAACCTTTTTAAAAAAAGAGGCGCTTCAATCAGTGAAAGGCGATGTCCAAAGACGCCCCATTCCTCTAGAAAGGAGCACTGTTCTCACGGGAAGACAGCTCTGACTTGTCCCTCTCCTCCGAGCCCCCCGGTCCTCAGCTTTCGTGAGGCCGCAGAGCCCAGCCCAGGCCTGGCCAGGTGGGGCCGAGAGCCGCACGGCCACGCTGTTTGTGTCCGTGTCCCACCGTCCTCCTGCGTCGCACCCCCCCCTCCCCCGCCTACCTTGTCTGCCCTACACAGACAGCACAGTCACGCCCAGTGATCGGAGGACGGTCGCTGTTAAGAGGTGCGATTACAGGCTGAGGAGGGGCTCCGGAAACACGTGGGGACGACCCTGCCCCGGGCTGCTGTGCCCTCTGCCGGGCGGGGAGGCGCTCCCGGGAACCCACTGATGAGCCGGGGGGCCAGCACGCTCCGGGGCAGCTGCAGGGGCAGTTTCCCTCCCTGACCTGCCAGACCCGCTCCCGCTCCCAGGCAGACCTAGCGTACCCTGGGTCGAGAGCCCCGGGCCCTGGGTCGAGATTCCCAGGGAGGTCCCTGCAGGTCCGAGTCCGGGCACAGCAGCCTGAGGGCGCCGGGAAGGGGCTGACGCCCAGGGCACCAGTGATGTCACAGCCTAGATGCCCTGGGAGCCGCCGGCTCCTCTGGTGATCTCATCCGGCTCCCACTGGAGGCCCACTTGACGCTGTGGCTTACGCACACACGATGTGTCCAGCCTTGACCCTCCAGGGCTGCACGCGCTGAGTGACCCTCTGTGGCTGCCTTCTAGAGCCTCCTCCTGGAGGTGTCTAGAAACATGGCCGACAGGCTCAGCCCCAGCTGCTCGCCCTCAGAGCTGCTTCCGGCCCTTGCTTCTCTGACAGCACAGACCGGCACCCCCAGGGCCCACCTGACAGGGGAGCGGCTCTCGGCCCCTCTGACCCCACCGCCAGCACCTGGTGACTTTCCCGGCCCAAGCACCTCCAGAATCGGCCCTCTCTCCAGCTGCACCGCTACCACAGGTCCAAGTCTCCCTCGCCCTCACCACCGTCCGCCCCTCCTGACCCCGTCTCCTGGCAGCCCAGAGGTGCTGCGTCCAGCCACGGGTATCCTTGCTGCCAGTGGATACACATAGCCAGCTCGGGGCCTTTGTGGGTGACAGCTAAATGCAGGTCCCCTCCCACTGAGAAGGAGCTAATAAGCCCACTGACCAGTTTCTAGAGAACTTCACCATCGTGCTGCTAACAGCAGAGCTGAGCCCGTGACGGGCCGGCAGCCTTGGGGCGCCTGAGTGTCCCCCAGGGACTTACCGCAGCCTAACAGCTGGATGAGTCTCCCTGTCCCCTGCACGCGTCCCCCAGAACTTACATTTGTATTAACAGTGAAGTCGATAAGGTATTACCCATAAAAAATGAAAATTAAGGAAAAGCAGGAAATTATTTAGCAGGGCTGTCGAATACGTGCGGTGTCCTGCAAAGGACTAAGGGTTTTGGGGCCTCCCTGGTGGCGCAGCGGGTTAAAGCACCGCACTATGAAGCTCTCCGAAGCCACTGCAGCACGAGTTCAATTCCCGGCCAGGGAGTGACCTGCATGGCATAGCAGACCTCTCCTGGCCCACCCGCTGCTCCCCTCAGCAGAGTGTTTCAGTCGATCTGCCTGTTCTGCTCCCCGCTCTGTCTCTGGTGAACCCTCCCACCCACCACACCTCTGGCCTGTACCCCAGTTCTGTAAGCATAAGTCTTTAAAAAAAAAAAAAGCTAAGGATTTTGGCGGTGGTGTCTTACACATCCCACACCACTGGCGCCCACACAGACTCTGGCGCACAGAGGTCACCTTACTGTCACAGCACTACGGTGAGCTGGGAAGTAAAGCCTGTTACATTCACAAACGAAGAAGGTCAAATAAAAAGGAGTAAGCGTGAAACCATCTGCCACGCCAGGACACAGTATGATCCGGGACCCAGGGGAGGCGACGCACATGTGCCCTAGAAGCGGGGAGACACGTGTTCTGCCTGCACTGGGGTTCACATGGCGATGAGGAGGATGAAGCTACCGGACATGTTGCGTGGATGAGCCACGGAGACCTGGGGCTCAGACGACGTGCTGGGGCGCTGCCAGCAGCCGCCAGTCACGTGGACCTCAGCACGCCCCGGTCCCTTCATAGGGGACCCCAGGACAGATAGACCGATAGAGACAGACGGTGGCTGGTGGTTGCTGGGGGGCCAGAGAGGAGTCGTGGGAAGGTGACAGTCGGGAGGTGCCGGGTTCCCTCTTGGGGTGATAAAAACGCCCTATGATGGCTTGTGGGGTGGTTGCATGTCTGTGACTATACCAAAGTCGTCCAGCTTGGGGGAGCGAATGGTGTGGTGTCTGCACTATGCCTCCTGATGACCATGAGCTCAAGACCTGGGGATGCTGGCGCGGAGAGCCTTCCCGCCGTCCGTACGGTGGCGTCAGCCTGGGAATTCAGCACGTCGCACGGCGTGTTAGCGGGAGCTCCCTGCTCTCCTGTTGCGACTCTCGCTTCTCGGAGCACGCCTGCTACTCCAAGCAGGTGGATAGTTGGGTGCTATTTGAGGGGGTGAGTTTTCTCTTAGGGGCTCCATAAGAAAGAGGGGTGCCGAACCCTAATCCCTGTGTGTTTCCCCCTCTAGCACTTTCACGACGGGCGGAAGGCGCAGCAGCACATAGAGACTTGCTGGAAGCAGCTGGAATCTGTAAGTGAGGGGCAGGCAGAGCACCGCCCCTGAAGACCTGCTCGATTGCAGTGTGCTTAAGCTTGAGTCAACCCCTGAGTGCAAAGCAAACAAACGCACTCAAGAAAGGTCTTTCGAGAGCGTTCTGATTTCAGATGGACTTGTTTCTAGAAAAGCCTGAGCCAAAGGAAAGCATTGCGCCCAAAGAGCGCACGTGGGGGGCTTATTCTGAAACCCCAGGGAGGGGCAAGTCCGGGGGGACGCAAATGAGGTCTAGAGCAGCCTGCGCGTCCACCCGCCCTGTGCAGAGGGCAAGGTCCTTGGGGGGAGGGGGGGTGACAGCAAAACCCCCTGCCGCGGGGAGCCCCACGGGCTCACTAGTAACCGGTGCCGGCCCCACTTTCCTCTGCTTTTAGAGTAAACGACGGTTCGAGCGGGACTGCAAGGAGGCTGACCGCGCGCAGCAGTACTTTGAGAAAATGGACGCCGACATCAACGTCACAAAAGCGGATGTTGAAAAGGTGAGGTGAAAGCGAGAGTCCCTTTCATTTCCCCTCGCCCTTCACCCCCAGTCCACACGTGCCCCAAAGTTCTCCTTTCTGATGAAACCAGCCCTGGGCCTTCCACCTAAGGTCCAGGGGGAGGGGGGGGGTGGAGCGGGGCGCTCCGTGGAGCCCGCAGGGAGCAGGGTAGGAGGGTGATCTCCAGACACGTCTGCCCAAAGCCTGTCCAGAGACACGGGCAGCCCCTTGGGGAGCCGGAGCAGACGCCCGCAGTTGGGCGCCCTTCAGAGACAGAGCCCTGGGCCGGCCTGCGGTGGCCCCGCTGGCGCCGGCGGCTGGGTCTCTGCGCGCTGGCAGGGGGTGTCTGGCGGGGGGCTGCCTTCCTCAGCGGCCCGGTGTGTGCCCTGGGAGCCCAGTTTTCTTTTTGTGGAAGCCGTCCTCGCCAGGTACACGGAGCGGGGTGTCGGGAACAGTATCCGCCCGCTGCCAGGCTCGTCTGCCCTGCAGCCTGGAGCTTGCCGCGACCCGCGAGCTCTCGCGCGCTGCGGGAGATGGGGCTCGTCGGAAAGTAGTGGGGTGCGTGCCTGAGGTGTTCGCCCGACCTCTGGAAGCCCGTGTGCGGGGGCCGGCGGGCCTGCCTCAGAAAGGGGCCACTCTCTAAAACACACGTCCCCGGTCGCGCCTGAGCTGCGGGGGGCTCTGCCTTTACCCCGAGCTCCATGAGTGAAGTTAAATGACGTCAGTTGGCCCCACGTTCTCGTCGGATAACCAGCCCCCCGCCGTATTGCCATGAATCAGGCGGACACCACGCGTATTTTTTACAAACGCACTCTGCCGATGTGCTAGCTGGCGCTAGCCCAGCGCAAAGCCCGCATTCTTATCGCCGAGTTCGCGCCCCTGAACGTGAGTCGGAAGCCGGGGTGCGGCGGGTGACGTCATTCCAGTGAGCCCGGCTTACGCAAGCCGAAGGAGCCCTTCTCGCTGTGGCCGAGCGCGGCGGAGAAGGAACGGGACGGGCGCCGACGCGCCAGCCGCCCGCCGCCCGTGCTGCAGCGTCCCCGGAGCTGAGGGCACCGCCCCGGTGAGGCGCCCCCGGCCAGCGCGCCCGCCAGTGTGTGGCTCTCGGGCAGAGCCTTGGCTTTGCTCCTTTCCCGCCTTCCTGAAAGCCGCGTGGTCCTCACCGCCTCGGGCGTGGTGTGTCCCCGGGGCCACGGCAGTGACAGTCCCGCGCAGACGCCAGCTTTCCCGCGTGCGGGCCGCCGGGTGCCTCCGCTCGGGCCTCTGGTTTTTGTTTCGGATCTTTAGTTCTATTTTGGGGGTTTTGTTTAGACCGTAATAACGACCATTTTATTTCTTCTTCAGCCCTGTGCCTTTTCTTTCTCTTCCCCGTCTTGCGCGGCTGTAACCTGAGAGAAGCTGTTGCTTTCTTGTCTTGCTTCGCGGAGAAGAGCGTCTGCAGCGGCGGCCTGGGCGTTCCCCAGGTGAAGGCTTTTCCCTTCTCCAGCGATCTTACCAGGCTTTTCTTTCTTTAAAGTCTGTCTTGATGTGCCTATTGCCGGATTTGTTTTCTGCTCCCTGGAGCCCGTGAGGGGATAGGTTGCACGGGTCAGTTTGGTTATATTGAGCCAATTAACATGCTCGGGAACAGACCCACCAGGCTCTGATGTGCTTTCTCTGGCCACTGCGGTCAGCACACGGTGGTTACTCAATTCCTGCTTGTCTGTACCTGGCTGACTCCATCCGGCCGGCCGATACTTAGACTTTGCGTCGCTGACACCGGTCTGCATACTTCCGTCTTCTCTGGCTCCTTCCTCAAGCTGGCAATGCTGGTTTGCGGCTCAGCTGAAGCAACGTACCTGTGATGGCACGAGCCGGCCCTTCGGTCTTGCAGTTGGTTGCAGAACATTTCTAACTGTGGGTGTGATTCCTTTTGCCCACCTCTTTGGGGGGCCGCCGGGTTGTCTTTGTCGAGAAGCAGCTCTGATTCATCCAGTTTCCAAGCGGGCGGCCCGCGGCGTTTCACCGGCGCAGGGCTTCGCAGTCCCACGATGGCCGCTGTCCCTCTCGTGCCTGTTTGCTCACGCCGACGCCGTTTGTTCAGCCCTCTGGCGTTTGCGGAATCGTGAGCTGAAATCTGAGTATTTTCCAAGAACCAAATTTATCTTTGTGCTGCTTCTCTTTTCTCATTTTGTTTTCTCTTTCACGTGCTTTCGTCTTTTCCCTTTTCTTCAGATGCTGAGCTCATTTCAGCTTTTCTGACGAAAGTGTGAGTACCAGCTTTCCTAGTTAAGTGCTCTTTATCTGCCACCCACAGCTTTGGTCTGTAGTTGTTGGGGTGCAATGGAAGCCATCCCTCTGGGTTCCAGACTGGAAGAATCCTCAGATGGGTTAGCAGAAGAAAACCTAGTAACAATTTTAAACAATCTAGAAACATGTGCTTGGGAAATTTACATAGTTGTAGATTCTACAGAACAATGAAGCAATGAAGTATTTGTTCGGCCTGCACTTGGGGCCCTGTGGCACCAGGGAGAGGGTAAGGAGACTTCCCGGGACAGAAAGCAGGGGTGACCTCATCCTTAAATAGAGGTGTTTGCTGATGCGCCTAGAACTGGCTGAGACCACTCGAGCGACATTCTTCTGGCTCATAAAAGGTGCAGCAATCAGATTGCTTCTCTGATTAGGGGAGGCCGAAAGCTAGGACTCGGCGCTCTCGTCTTGACTAGGGCGAGGCGGAGGCCCTGGACAAGGGCAGCCCTTCCCCCAGCCCTCACTCAGTGCCTCTCTGCGGTCAGCCCCGCCCGCGTGCCCCAAGCCCGGCCACACCAACGAGGCCCAGGGGCCCGGACCGCGGGTTCGCACATCAAGGTGACAAGAAGCCCTCTTCCTTGGGGCACCGAGACAAACCTGGCCTTTTGGGGCAAACCAACACCCCCCCCCCGTGTTTTCAGTTATCTTTACTGTTGCAGTCTTTCCTGTGATTTAACTAGAAGCGCGTTTGAAACCTTCTAATTGTATGGCTGAGTTAGCTATTTTCTGCGTCCTTGATTTCTAGTTCGGTAGCACTGTGGTTGTAGGAAGCCGGGGTTCAGTCTTTCCTGTCTGTGGAGATTTTGTCCTAGGGCCTAGGAAGGCTCCCGTCTAGCCAATGCCCGTAAGTAACTGAGAAGAATGCATGCTCGCGGCTTCTTAGTTTTGTGTTCTCTGTATTTGCAGGGACCTGCTGACTGCCTAATCCAAATCCTCCCAACTTTAGGGTTTTGTTTTTTTTTTTTTTTTGCTGGCTTGTAGCATTTGTTGAGTGTGTCACTTCTCTGTGCTTACGCTCCTTGCCTATAAGATGGAAACACGGAAGGGTTGATAGACTTGAGTCAAGATGTAAAGGCCCCACGGCCCTGCATCGTGGTGGCCAGTGACCCCCTACGTCAGCCATTGTGATGGACATTTGTTGTTCATTTTCTCAGTTTTGCTTTTCTACTCCGAGGTCTGGATTACACGAGTCAGGCTGAACTGGGCCTCCTCACTGTGCCTCGGCTCGCGCTGAGCCGGCGGGCGCTGCTGATGCAGTGGTCTCTGCTGGTCACGTTGCCTCCTCCGTCTCCCCCGCTTCGCTCTGTCCTCGTGTTTGGTGTCTCCCGTGGGTGGCGCTGGCGGGCTTGACGCGGC